CACTACTGAAACTGCATTCAGACTGACCTACTGGACCACTTGTTTTATAAAGGTTGTATTTATTCAGTGGTAGCAAAGAAAGAAAAACTTCTAAGAGAGCCTTAAAAGTGACCTAACACCAAAACCTGATCAAGCAGGTGTTTCAGGGCCTATTAGACCAAAGTGATGACAACTTGTCTCTTTTGATCATAAACCCTCAAGATAGTTATAAAGCACCATAACAAAGCAACATAATTGCAATACACTTCATCAGTGCAGCAACACTAGCAATTGCTTTTGACTGCATTTCCTTTACATAATTTTAAGAATATAAACTACAAAAGAAAATATACTTTTCAAATTAAACAAGGGGATTTCGCTACCTTTCTCCTCAAATAAGCAATCTAAGTTATGCTTTACCTTAATATTTTAAAACATTGTTTTCGTGACTCATGTGTAACTGTGACCTAAAGTTACAAGTGGTCCTGTTAATCTATCGCATACCTTTATATCTAAAGTATCTAACAACTATTACAATAGAGTATAAATATGGTATACTGGCACAAAGCCTTTGTGTAATTCTAAAAGAAGAGTTCAAAGTCGGGTATCCTGAAAAAATATTCAAAACCTAGACTCAACATACAGAAGCTAATTTTCTTTAAAATGTGTAGACTAATGGAATTTTCAGAAACATTAATATTAAGGTGTCTTTCAACTCAATGCATTCTATGAACTTTACAGATAAGTATAATTTAGCTTCAGGATTTGTGGAAAATTAATGAACACAAGATGGACTGCACACAAATGAAAAACCAGTAAACCGCTGGGGTTTTTTTTCCTTCATCTGTTTCCAGTTGGCACTGCTCTTGCAGTAACATCATTAACAACCAGGAACTTGCCCTTTTTCACCAAGAAATTAATGCTTGTCTAGAAGCATGCACATAAACTCTTTTTAAGTAAACTAAAATATTTAGAGAACTTAAGAAACTCTAGAAACGTGAACCCCACTTAAATATAAAATTCTAATATTTAAATGCAATTTTAATTCAACACTGAATTACGGCAAATCTTTCATAATTACGTTGCCATTTTACCAAAATTTTCACAGGATATTTAAGAGATGAGTATCAGCCATCCCCTCTAGATTTCTATCTAGCACTATTAACTTTCTTCAAAGGTTTACCTGTACTGCTAAACACCAGAAGACACGTGCTTCTGTTATGTGCTACTGAGGTGTGCTTCCTACTGCCAGAAATGTTGAAGATGCACATTCTTCCCTCAAAGAAAAATATTAACATGAGTTTCTAAAATAAAATACATTTCATGGACCTGATTATATATATCCAGAGGACTGGACTGTACCTGCTTACTGTGATTTTGATTTTAATTTTAAGGCATATTTGCCTTAACAACTCTCACAACTGGTTAATGAATCACTCTGAATTAATTCTGTGCCAGGACTGTTCAGTTCAGAAAACAAAGAGGCCTTGAAAAGTACGCCAACAATTAAGTCTGAAACATCTTGATAGTTTACAAGAACTAGGAGGGAAAAGTCACCAGCAAATTCTCTTGTGTATACCACTCCTAATCACATAAGTAACAGGATGACTTCTGGCCATGCCAATCGTCTTGCTTTTTACCTCACAGCTTAGCCACAAGTAAAACCTACTTCAGTTTTCACACACTTTGACGTTACTTCTTTAGAACGTGTGAAACACCAGGATTCCGGGCTAGACGCTTTGTTAATAAACCTGCGTATCGATGTTCAGAGATGCAGAGCAGACAAACACGAGAGGTGCCAAACGAAACAGAGGAAGTCCTTATCTGCTTCTCCACCCATCCTTCTCTAAATACACCCTCAGAAGTCCAACTCTCGTAAAAATTTTTAGCTACTTCCCCACCACAACTCGACCGATTCAACACTACCAGGTGCAGAGTCACGAAACGACCCTACTCGCTTTCTCATGCCGGGAGCCGGTACAGTTGCACAGCCCCGTAAACACAACCGGGGGTTTCTCCGGCCTGGGGCACGGGGGAGACCCTCCCAGGTGGCCACGCTTCAGAGATAAACAAACGCGGAGTCGCCTTTTACTTCTTCAAGCTGAACTTCCCGTCCAGGCGCGCTTCCTGGTTTCGGGGCCGGGCAGCGGCGGCAGAAGGCGAGTTTCGGG